TTAAGATCAACGATTCAAAACTCTTCGTCTCCAACTAGCTCCGTTCCATATTTGGCATAGGCTCATCTGTCTCCAAACGATTACTTCTTCCCTTTCCACTGGTCGGAGCCTCCCGGGGTTGTTGGTTCGAGCATGCAGCAGTGTGAGTCTTGTCGCGTCGGTCGTGATGCCGGTGGTCTGTAACAAGGACTAAAAAAATCTTATCAGTGGTCTGTACTACAATCCTTTAACAATCAGGCTTGCTGTGTTAAGCTCACTTCCATCAACTTGTTTTCCCTTCTCTGAACCTTTTTTCTCCCCTGTCAATTGGGATTTATGTATGTATGTGTATTCATTCCTTCTAAGTCTTGTGACGAAACGTCAGGAAAGAATAAAATAGCAATTCATAGTTGGGTTTCCATTTCTACCACACTTCAGTAAATCTCACCTGGACCCAAGTAAGTTCATTAGAAGTCATCAGACTTTACTAAAACCCGTCACTCACACACACACACACACACACATACATCGTCTTCAGCCTTCATGGGGTGAGGACGTCTGTGGTAGGCGCTGCCCGCTGAGGCGGTCGTGGTCTTTTTGGTCATGAAGACAGCTGCCAGCCTGGTATATCGGGCCTTCCCCTTCCCCATCTGGATTTATCAACATCCTCCCACCAACAGTACAGTGCAAAGATTGACGATCAACCTACAAGAGATCTACAAAAGTGACTATTTCAACTCGAAAATGAAACAACTGTTAGAGCGACAATCGGTGCTTAGCGGTCAATGTTGACCTGACGCTGACCTAACCCCAGGGTCCCCATACACCCACCACCACCACCAACACTGGATGAGGAACCAAGAAAGACTCCAAACTACATCAGGAGAGAAATGAGGGCTCCCTACTTCACCTAGGTGAGGATTTATGATTTCCCAACTATTGTATATCACATGAGGAACAAGAGCCACTTCCAACACCTTGTGTGAGCTGAAGGACCTACCCGGACCATGTGGTGGATGTGGTAAACGTCAGCTTAAGTAGTGAGGGAGAGGCTTAGCAACTCAGGTACAACGGCCATCCAAACAGTGTGAAGGACTTTGTTGGCGCCAATATCAAGTCACAAGAATGTTTACAAGACCAGCTTCCACAGTACCAGGTCTAGAGTTAATCTATATGTTGACTATGTTTCTTATATTTTTTTGTATTGAAACCTTTCCTCAATCAAGTGACCCACTAACCGATTTCACCATATGTAACTTATCAACCCTGCTCATTGTATATTTTCAGCTTTCGTGCTGCCATATTATCTTAATAAACCGTTAATTATTATTATTATTATTATTATTACACACACACACACACATACACACTTGTCAACAATCAGTGAGACAAGACATGCCCTGAAGGCGTTCCCAGTTTTGTCAGCCAGGCCGAGTCTGTTTGGCCCTGCCCCCCTCCCCCTGCTATATTCCAACGTCCAACCAGCCTTACTACACCGGAATTTATTCAGCAAAACATTTAAGTGATCAGTGCAATGATTCATTACCAAACAGTGTTCCGATAGTGCATTCCAAGGAAAAGCACAAAAACACAGCAGTGTAATACCAGATAATGGGCACTTTGTCGGTCTCCTTCAAAGTGCCTGTAACAAGGACCACCGCGGTGTTTACATATATAGTGGATACTGTGTCGCCAACCCTAAGCGCCAGAGACAAGGACTGACGGTGTTTACGACTGACAAATATTAACAGATGTCTACCAGTGTCAGTGGCCCTCAAAGTGCCGCCAGTGAGTTTATGGCCACCGGGGACAAACACTTCCGTCCTGTCCACAACAACAGATATCAACCCTCGACGCTTTCTGTACCTTCTAAAGCGTGGGAACGGTTATCCTGATGGCAGTGTTATCGCGCGACTCAAGTCACTGAACATATTCCACGCGCACAGCCGAAGACAGGGGCGTCATAAACAAAACCCCATTAGGACCATAACCTCCACTAGGAAACCAGAGAAACTCACCCCTGACAGACCGTACCATTAAATTGAAGTTCCACGGATATGGTATGATCTCCCTTCTTTACTGCTCTCCAACGTCACTTCCCTAGCTAATAAGTTTGAGGAGCTGACAACCACAGTCAGGTCAGTTGCGGCCAACGTCGTTGCCATATGTAAGGCTTGGCAAATTGTGCCTGAAACGTGTCATATTGAGGGATATCAACTCATTCATCACCTTCGTTCACATGGACGCGGGGAGGGGGCGTTGCCCTCTTCTGTCAAAATGACCTATGCCCGTCACGCCTGGATGTTCACGTCCCAGCAGATGTGGAGGCATTATGGGTACGTGTTGTGTCACGGGCCCACCCGTGCCACACTACTTCTATCATAATCTTCATGTTATACCATCCGCCTCGCTCACCCACCAGAGACACTCTTATCTATTATCTCATTACCACCTCAGAGTTAGGTACCCATATGCCAAGTTAGTATTATGCGGGGATTATAATGAAATTGACACCACTCATATCCAGGACCAGCTGTCACTGTCACAAGTTGTGAACATCCTCACACACGGTCAAAATAACCTTGACCTTATCTTAACTGACTTAGCGGACGAGTACCAGCCACCTCAACCAATTCCTCCTATCGGGTGTAGCACACACCTATCAGTGCTCTGGTCCCCAGCTGCCACTCCCACTCAAGTACAGAGACCCTACATCAAGACCTACAGGCCGATTACTGACTCTGCAGTGCATCTCTTCGGGCAGTGGATAGTTTACCATCCCTGGACTGAAGTACTTAGTGAGGATGACGTTGACACCAAATGGAAAAATTATACCAGCACCACCATGGAAGCTTCCCACCACTTCTTCCCCGAGAATTCCGTCAGATTTCACCCAGCTGACTTGCCCTGGATCACACCTCGGATCAAAAGACAAATGCTACAGAGAGACAGAGCCTCATATCTCAATGACCACAACCGCTACAGGTCCCTTCGCAACCGAGTCATCCGCGAAATACGCACTGCAAAGAAGTCTCACTACCTAACCAAACTGCAACACCTGAAGCAGACCAACATCATTCAGTGGTATGGTAAGCTTAAAGAACTCTGTGGACTACACAATAAGACACACCCCTTTCCCTTCCTTAGCTATCTCACTAATGTTGACGCAGCTGAGCAATCAAATAACCATTTCGTTAATATATGCCAGATGCTCCCCCGGCTTGACACAACCAATCTCCCTGCTTACCTACCAGCCCCCTTTCCCACTGACTTAGTAGAAGAATTTGAAGTAGCAAAACGTCTGGACAAACTGAAGTTAAAACGCTCCACCACCCCCATTGACTTACCAATGAACTCTTCAAGGAGTTTTCCCCGGAGCTAACTAAACCCCTCTGTTCCATCATCAAGCTTCCCTCAGTCAAGCCAGACGCCCAGCTGACTGGAAGAGTTCATATGTGTCACCGGTGCCCAAGTCAAGCAGCCAACAATCCTTAAATCAGCTACGACCCATTGCAATCACCCCAATACCCAGCTTAAGCTGTGAAAGTTTTGTGTTTGACTGGGCTTATGCTGATATTACAGGCGCCGTAGATCCTCATCAATTTGGTAATATGAAAACTTCCTCCACCCCTCATTGTCTTTTCAGCCTTCTCGACTACATATACCGCCATCTGGAAAAACAAAAAACGTCTGTAGCTGTGGCCTTCATTCACTTCAGTAAGGCATTTGACCTAGTCGACCACAATTTAATCATCAACAAAAGCTATCGACCTCAGGTTTCTTATACCATGGCTTACACACTTCCTCAGTAACCGACGCCAAGCTATACGCTTCCGAGGGGCTGTCTCCACCTTTCAGTCACTCACCTGTGGCGTCCCCCAAGGCACCAAGATGGGACCCCTATGCTTCCTTATGCTTATCAATGATGCCCTAAGAAAAACCCCCTCTCGCCGGAAATATGTGAACAACTCCACCATTGGGATCAGTGTCAACAATTATGCTCCTGACTATACCATTCTTCAGGATTTATTGAACAGTCTCCAAAACTGGGCCACCAACAACCAAGTCACCATCAACCATACCAAGACCATAGTTACAGACATCACACTCTCCTCCGACGTTGTCCCACCCCCCTTCCATTACCATAGGACCCAACACATTCCAGGTTTTAGATTCCACTAAGCTCCTCGGCGTCACTATAGACAACAAACTAAATTGGAAACCACACGTCAGTGAAGTTGTCAAATCCTCCAGTTTCCGTCTCCACCTCCTCCGCCGATTCAAGTCCCTCAGAGTTCCTGCGCCCGACCTCCTCAGTGTTTACTCAACATTCATCCATCCCAAGCTCACCTATGCCTCCCTTACCTGGTCTTCCTCCCTAAATGCCACACAATGTAAACACCTAGAAAAAGTGCAAGAGAGGTCATGCATGATTATTCTCTCCCCTTCCTACTACACATATCAAGAAGCGCTCAACACACGGACCCTCTCGGCTCTCTCTGACCATCACCACGACCTCATCTGCAAATTTGGTGAGCAGGTTCTGCACCATCCTCGACACCGGCTCTTACTATCACCCGAGATCCCTCGTCCGAGAATTGCTGTTAGGAACCACAACCGCATCCAGCCCATACGAGCACGAACTGATCGCTATTAGAACAGCCCAGTCCCATCATTGTAAAAATTATAAATAACTTGTAATCAACCAGTCAATCTTACTTTTTGCACTGTCACTAAGTTGAAATGCCCTGTAGTTTGAGCTTCTCCCCACCTAGTTATTATATATCATATTTTTATTACTTATTTTACTTGTATATTATTTGTAAATAAAGAGACCCATTCCCCAATTATGTAACTGTATATTTTCAGCCTTCCGGCTGTCATGCTCTTTCAATAAACCGTTATTTATTATTATTATTATTATTATTATTATTACACACACACTCTAGAATTCACCACAATTTTCGAGATTCCCTGATAAGACAGTACCCGAGGAACTCCCATACATCAGAAGTGCTCACCTGTTAACACGATGAGGACAGGTCCGAGGAAGGACTCTAAGTTGAGGGGCTGTACCCCTCCGTGTCTGCGGTCGGAGGTGGGCGGACGGAGGCACTGGGTGGTGTTGGTGATCTCAGTAGCCAGCCACTTGGCCATAATCCCTGTCTCACGTAACCTTTGAATACTTGAATGAAAATGGCAGTGAAAATGGTGAAGCAACATGTAACAGTGAATGGAGATATTTTGTTTATATTCTATTTTTAAAGATATACTGTAAGCTACTAATGTACTGTACTCGCATGGATCATTAAATATTTACAAGTCAAACCGAAGAGGAAAAACTAAATAACTGCTCACATAACATTTGCCTTCTCGAGGTAAGAAGACTTGATCTGGAAGGCGAGAGCCATCATGGTGTTGGAGTAGACACGCTCCCGGCCGATGTACAGGTGACACTGACCGCTGGTGCTGTCACAAGCACTACATTTTAATATGCGATATACCACTTAGCGATTCTACTATGACGCCCTTGTTTTTTGTGACATTCGTCTTTACCACTTTCAATGATGCTCACATTTCATTAATATTAACACTAATCAGCCAAAAATGACTCACGAGCTTAAGTATAATTAACAATAGTTGGATCTTTGATTACCTGAAGTCCCAGGACATGACCTTCTTCATGGTAGTCTCATCACAGATGGCAGCGAAGGCCCCACTGGCGATACCTTGACGTGCCGACCAGCAGTCCGGGATGGTCCCAGACATCTCTTTGAACGCTTTCTGTCTCACCTTGTCCTCTGAGTCCTGCAAGTTTTAGATTTACAGATGATTTTTATTTTTGTTGGAGGGAGTAGGTACGAAATCGAACAATAATGATTGCTTATGAGACCACAGCTTACAGTTCAAATAAGAACAACACATACAGCAGTAACCAGAAGCGCAGGCGTATACCCACGTAAGTTAACCCACCCTTCATAATTAAAGTTAGATTAAGACCTGACCTAGCAGAGGTCACGGTCAGGATGAAACAGAGTTCTCACCGCCGCCTGATTAGTCAAACCGGCGTCATGACCGTGTTAACTCAAGAAAGTACCCTCCAGCCCGCACCACGCACCTGATCAAACACAGCTGTCTCGACACACCCAGATTAGTGTTAATTAGTGACGACATCTGCCGGCCTGACACCGCCAATGTAAGGGGCCGACAGCTCCTTCCCAGACAGACAGGGAGAGACAGAACTGGAGGCAGATGGAGTCACAATCGTCACAAGTCGAGGTCAGGAGGGGAACTTCCCTCCCGAGCACCGAGGCCCCAGCTAGCAGTCTCCCACAGGAGACAGAACCCAGCACCCGCCTGCACCACTCTCTTCAGCATCACCTGCAGACATTCCACAGCAACTGGGCCTCCTTTAGGTCACTCGTGAGTCATTGTCAGACCGATCCATAGGGTGAGTTACTTACGGTGGAAAGAGTATCCATTTCATCTTTGTGTCTGAGAGCCATTGTTTAGTAACATCGATATATTTATTAATGTGTCTGTTGGAAGATTCCCCCTAAGAATATAATACCAAGTTAAATAACCAATCGGCCACGCTACCAACCTTCCTCACTTTACAATCCTACAACTAATAAATTCTTACTTAACGTAAACCCAAGCTCTCCCTCGCTTAGCCATTACACCTGGCACGTCTCCCCTATTTATTTAATTCAGTTTGAGTATTGTTTAACCGTGTGCGGTATGGAACCCCGAGTAGTACAGTTTGAAAAAGTGTCCTAGTGTGTCATCTGAGCAGTTCAAGTAAATGTTTCTCATAGTGGTATGTACGAATTGCTACTAGCATAACTCCCCAGAATATGTTCGGTGCTTAATATAATTTTTCAGTGTCCGACAGTGGACAACAGCAATCAAGAGGTGAAGGTGACGATGGAACAAACATCGACTCCAGCCACAAGGAACTGGAACAGCACATACGAGCAGAGGAGAGAAGCAGCGTGATGAATGCAGCACTTCACCTATACCCACCACACACCAATTCACTTCTTTCAAGTCCTCCCTTGGTCTAGGATTAAAGAGATTTTATATTTTTTTTACTTTAGGCAGTTAAGACTTGTGGAATGAGGCCGTGACGAGGGAGACCCTGCAGCACCACACATTAAACCCTAGCCGGCTGAACCCGATGGGGGTTTCCGCTGCGGGTGCGTGGGGCAGGGCGGACCGGTGCCTGTGTAGCTCTGGTACCGAGTTCGGGTACCGGGATGCTGAACCTGCCCCACACGTCGTCCAGAGTGATGGCAACCACCCTAGTGTGACCGGCCACCCCCGGCCGGATTGGCGGAAAATGATGCTTTACACATAGAGGAAACTCAGATGGAACTAGAAAAATACTATCTTGAATATATCAGAAAATTATGCTGTACAAAGGAAACTCAGATGGAACTAGAAAAACTCATCTGGACTATGAAAATGATGCTGTACAAAAGAAACTCTGATGGGGTTGGAAAAAACCATCTGGAATGTGATAGTAATTGATGCAAGAGGAAATTTGCATTATAAACCAGGAGGAAGTGAGAAGAAGTTAAGTGTGGAGACATGACCTACAAGGTGCGGCAATTGAAGAAAGAAAAACGTGCCATGTGAAGAGAGAAGACGTAAGACGTGCTGTGCTGACATCAAAAGAAAAGTCGGTGGATCATTGGAAGGATCAACCTACCACCGCTGCTGTACTGCCAGTATCCCTGATACCAGTTGGTGGAGAATGTGAGCCATGCTGGGCCACATTACTGCATTGCTGTTTTATATGTTTAATGATTAAAAAAAAACAACCTTATAAGTGAAAGAAGGCGCATCTTTTTGTGTATTTTGAAGTATCTCATTCTTACATGTGATAACATTTACTAGAGATATTTTTTTTTTAAAGATGTAAGTAATTTTCTATGGGTTTATTTGATCAATGTTTTGTATTACCTAATGGAATGTCGCAACCATACTGCTGATTGGTCTAATCATTATTTTAACATGGGCAGGCAAGGCCATGTAACACCTGTTATTGCTTATAAAATGTGATTTGCATTTTTTTTCTTAGACACTATTCTAGATCTGTAGGATCTTTAGCTCAATAACTATTCTAGTTGAGCTCATACAATTGTCATTCACTGTGTTTGTGTCTTTTCTCCTGGCAGAGAATCTTTGATCTTGACGGGAGGTATAGTGAGTTTTGTCACACCAAACCAAGCCAGTAGAAAAACATACATATCACTAACTATGAGGGAAGTGCTACCGATAGGTAGCGGTTATTGTTTGTAAAATGTGAAGTTGCATTTTCGCCTCAGGGGCTATTCTAGATACTGCACATGATATTACCATGATCACTGTCTATATGTGTCATCAGTTCTCTGGTATGGAAGCTTTGGTCTTGGCGGGAGGTGCAATGATTGCTTATCACACCATAGCTTACAGACCAGCGAAACACAACACATATACCAATAACCGGAAGCGCAATACACTCGCGTAAGTTGACCCACCTTTTGTAATTAAAGTGAGATTAAGACCTGACCCAGCAGAGGTCATGGTCACGATGAAGCAGAGTTCTCACCACCGTGTGATTAGTCAAACCGGCGTCATGACCATGTTAACTCAAGAAACTGCCCTCCAGCCCACACCACGCACCTGATCAAACACAGCTGTCTCGACACACCCAGATCATTGTTAATTAGTGACGACATTTGCCGGCCTGACACAGCCAATATAAGAGGCCGACAGCTCCTTCCCAGACAAAAAAAAAAAAAAACTTATGACTCAATACAACTATTCATTAGCAACACAAATCATATCACACCTAAGGAATCCTTCCATACTATAAATTAACCCCACAACCTCCAAAGCCCCCCTCTCCTCTCCTCGCCTCCCCTCTCCTCTCCTCTCCTCCCCCCTCCTCCCGACAACCGAACCATACCTGACCTTATATCAATTATCCTAACCCTCCCCCTCTCCCCTTACTACATTTCCACGCAAACGCATACACACTCACACAACAACCCCCCCGAAGCAAAAAAGTAATTCACCTCAACTCAACATACAACCTCCACCCCCGCCAATCCCCAAACACAAACTCCCCCACCCCCGCCAGACAAAGCCTCTCATAACACCACAACTCTCCAAAACCAAATCAAACATACCCAACCTCTATACCAGCCACTGTCAACATTATCGACCTAACTCAAGACTGAAACCAAACAACCTATATCTCACTCTCATCTCCGTTCACAATTTGACAATGCTCAAATCTGTCCCCTGCTATTACTAAATAACTCTCCTACGATACACTCATCCTTCCTTACTACGAATACTTTGACATTTCAAGCTCAAAGATTCAAAACTCTTCCTCCAACTCTCTCCATTTCTCTCTGACATAGCTGAAAGACCCACAACTCTCAGAAACAAATCAAAACATACCCAACGTCTGTGACATCCAATTATCAATAAAATCAACCTAACTCAAGACTGAAACCATTCAGCCTATATCTCATTCTCGTCTCCGTTCATAATTTGACAAAAAAGCTCAAATCTGTCTGCTGCTATTACTAAAAACTCTCCTACGATACGCTCATCCTTCCTTACTATGAATACTTTGACATTTCAAGCTCAAAGATTCAAAACCCTTCCTCCAACTCGCTCTGTTCCTCTTTGACATAGCTCAAAGACTTTACCTTCTTCTTTCTCCAAACAACCCTACGACTAGCAAAATTTCCATGTTTTCACCTTCTCTGTTAATTTGTTCGTGTGTGGCCTGTGCGTCCGTCCACCTGCGCTTCTCGGCTTGCACCGCCGCCGTGGCGGGGCGGTTCTTCCTCCGCTTTGCCAACACTGCCTAAGCTAGACGACAACCAGAGCACCCGCGTTGGCCCTTTGGTTGCCCGGACCTGCTCCCGCCCTCCCTCTGCCTCGTCCTGATTATGATTGTTGCACCCTCAGGGCATTTTGCCTACCCCCTCACGCAAGCGGTGTTTAGCCACTGCACCTGTTCTCTCCTTCTAAAATTCACTTCCATCCTCCCTTTATTCTTCCTCTGAACCTCCTTCCCCCCTGTCACTAGCATTTTTCTAGTTCTAGTTCCCAGACAGACAGGGAATGGCAGAACTCGGAGGAAGATGGAGTTACAATCCTCACAAGTCGAGGTCGGGAAGGGGACTTCCCTTCCCAGCACCGAGGCCCCAGATAGCAGAGTCTCCCACAGGAGACAGAGTCCAGCAGCCGCCGAGACCACTCTCTTCAGCAGCATCTGCATAAATTCCCCAGCCGCTGGGCCTCCTTCAGGTCACACGTGAGTCAGTGCCATAGCGATCCATAGTGTGAGTTACTTATGGTGGAAAGTGTATCCATTTTTTGTTTGTGTCTGGGAATCATTGTCTTGTAATGTCGATATATTTATTAATGTGTCCATGTCATTCAGGTAACTAATAAACAGTTGTAAATAGAATTGTAGTTTGGAGGATTCTCACTATGAATCAATATAATACCATTCACCGAAACATCGATATAATAGCATTCACCGAAACATAGATATAATACCATTCACTGAAACATGGATAAACTTAGACTCAAGAGAGAGTTACCTGCCAAATACTAAATTGCAGGTTACAAATTATTCCATACCGATAGGCAGTTTAGGAAAGGAGGATGAGTAGCAATATGTGTCAGGGATAATCTGAAGTGTGAAACAAATAAGGGAATAAAAACTAAACTGAATACAGAAACAATTTAGATAGAATTAATCGATGGTAGGGAAAAATTAATCGCAGGAGTAA